ACCGATCTACTTTGTCCTAGTCGCACGGTTATATTAAATGCTCCGAAGTATATTTTTTAGAATGCCTGTAAATACGTTTTTGAAGAAGTTTCATGACGCATGTGTCAGTAATCTAGAAAGTAATTATTGATAAGATCTGCTGCAACGAATATAATGACTGAATAAATGCAGAATGATACGTATAGCTACAGTGCGAGGACTAACAGCCAACAGCACTTAACAAACGAAGAGACGATTCCTAAAGAAATATTTAACGGTAGTTCCAGTAGGATTTATACGTTCGAATGAAAGCAAGCTTTTTGAGTGTTAAAATTTCTTACTGGTTCAAGCTTCCGACACTTTCACTTTTTTTTAAAAAATAATCCAAAAACAAAGAAACTTTATACTTTATTTTAGTTACATACTTTATAACATATTTCAAAATGGACATTAAAAATGTTTTCTATGTAATGAAACTAGATATATTGATTAGGCGTGCCCTAAATATCGCTGCGATTTATTGATTTTAGTAGAGAATACGAAACCATCTACAAGTTATCAATACTTGATTTCAATACATTCTGTTGAACTTTACAAGTGCTCCTATGACTTTCTCCCCTATTCCATTCAATCTTCTAAATTAAGCTAAGAAGATGAAATTCTATAAAAAGCTTTGAAATACTTTTCTTTTGTATCTCACCTAAAATCGTATAGTATGTATGCCTGCACGCTTCACATTTCCAACCCCTAAGCAACAAGTCTTAATGAGTGTGATGACACTTTTGTGCCTGCTGCTTTCTGTCTGCTGCCTGATGTCTGCTGCCTGCTGCCTGCGACTACTGTTTAGTTTCGTGGAAGAGAACGGTCGATTGTTGCATGCAGTACAAGATGTAAATGTATCTCAGCAACACGTAAGATACCTGCTACATTTGATTGAATACGAGGCCCGTCCGTCTGTTTGAAGCTGTAAAATGCATTCGTTTTAGTTCATCCTCTGTTTTCTGTTTCTAATTAGAAGAGGCGACAATCTAATTTTAGTTTTTCATTGGAAAGACGAAAACTTTCGACGTGAGGTTAATGCATCGCTGCAGCGCCGTGCAATCGCTGTTGTATTAAAATAAACTTTTTTTATGAAGTTTTTTAGCTGACTTTTATTATCTGTTAGACATCGTTTGTATGTGTTTGGCCTGAAAATAATGTAATTGGAAGATGCAATATCTTTTTCCGTGTAAAATTCTCCTAAGTTTAAAATTAATGTTTTGTTGAGATTTTCTTTTATTTTTAATTTTAGTTTATGGGACATTTATGAGTTTGTATATATGTACAGATACATTCCCATATATGTGTTTCTCCGCGCGTATGAAATTATAATGCTGTGCCCATTAAAACGTATAATTGGAAATATAAATCAGGAAAGTATTTCTTCCTGTATTTGCTGAAGTTTCATTATTTTTAGTGATTTTGTTGCCAAGCTGCGCACGAATCCAAAAAAAGCATTGCTCCGCTTTTCAATACTTTTTTTAATTTTTAAACGAAGAGCGAAACTAAAATGTTGAATGTAGGTTTCGTTTCGCGACCTACAGACTTTCTGCTAAGAACCAAACGTATTTCACTTTATTTTAAGCACTGGAATAATTTTAAGGGTTTCTGGTTCTACACCTATACAAAAACGATAATAAAGTTCACTTGGAATACCATCTAACGTAACTTAAATTTTAAGTCCAAAACTGAAGTTAAGCGCATATCTGGAGAAAACAATTATTCACAATTTTATTATAAAATTAATGCAAATCAAATCTAATCATTAAATCTGATTAAAAAACCTATTTGCCATGCAATGTACCTATATACGTATAAGTGGATTCTAACAAAAAACATTTTTCATTACTGACATTTTTCTTCAAGGGTTTGCTGGCTTCAATTGTCATGTACCGAAATTTTATGTGTTTATATTGTCTTAGGTACATGAAAACTTTATGTAGGTTTATCATCACATAAGAACGTTTATGCATATGCAAGCCAGCGTTACTTGACATGTTTTTTTTTTGTTTCTACAAAATCTTCCCAACTTTATCCACGCACCAAATTTTCTTATTCCTTTTAATTTGATGTGAGCACAGCGAATTGGAGCCCTAATATTTTATTGAAATTTGTTAGATTTATAATTAATTATATTATACATATGTATATGCAGAGAATTATGATAAAATGATATATAAAATGATGGTTTAAGAAATATATAGAAAAATAAAAAAATTAAAACTCCAGAAAAATTTCAGTTGGTTGAGGAGCGCTGTCTCTGGGCCTCAAATTTGGCAGGGCACGAGTTCGATTCCTCGTACTTGCAATCTCAAAAAATTATTTACGAATAATTAAATACAAAAATTATTTCCAAGTCCACTGATTATGGATATTTACAAATACTCGAAACAGCTGTATGATCAGCCAAAAATTCAATTAATTAAAACAATAAAGAAAAACCTCTATGAAAAAATTAAATTATTTTTGTAGATATTTGGGTTTGTGGAAATAAATAAGAGGAACTAAATTTTAATAGTAATACTTTACTATAAAGAACCTGAAAAAAAATCTGCAAAGTATTTAATATAAATTTAATATAAATAGATATCATCGTTCTGACGTCCCTTATTATAAACTTTACAGGTAATGTGATTATTATCCATTTAAGAGAGTACAATACACCTATTATTCAATGCTGAAAGTAGAGTAAACAAATGCTCTATATCAACACTTCATTCATTTCTTTTAAATCTAAAAGTTTTTTACGAACTCTTAGAAGATGTTATGCAGATAGAAGAAGAAAATAGTTTGTGTATTTTGACGAAATTTTACACCAAATTATAAATTCAAAACACTTTAAAGTGTGACTGTAAACTTCAAAAATACTGCCTTCCTAAATAATAATAAAATTATTAAACCTAAGCATTATTTAGTTTTAAAAGTCTTAACTCTCTCTAACCACGACTTTTTTGTAATCTATTACAATTAGGAAATTATTGCTCTAGACAGTTCAGCCGATTTCAGTTCATTCGTTCATAGTACCAAGCAATGACATAGAAAGTAATTAAAAGATTCATTATACATTGTGACCGAAAAGTTTCCGGTCATAAATAAATAAAACGCAAAATTCTTAATCTTCATCAATATTTATTTATCTCCTTCAAAATATGCTCCATTAGAAGCGATACACAAATGCCAACGTTTCTTCCAATCATCAAAACATTTTTTATAGGCGCTTTCCGGTATGGCTTTGAGTTCCCTCTGCGAATTCTGTTTTACGTCTTCTATGGATTCAAAACGCGTTCCTCTGAGTGGTAATTTGAGGTTGGGAAACAGGAAAAAGTCACACGGTGCAAGATCAGGTGAATACGGTGGCTGTTCGATGGTATTTATTGAATGTTTGGCCTTAAAATCGTTGATAATGTTGAACAAATTGAGGTGAATCGGAACAAGCCGGGCGTTGACACGTCGCATACACAAATTGTCCACCAAAATCAAACGAGCCATCTCACGACCGATGCCTAGCTCTCGTGCTATCTCTCTAACACTCACATGAGGATTTTTGAACACGATTTCCTTTGCCTTTTCAATGTTTTCGTCGGTGGTAGAGGTCGAAGGTCGTCCAGAACGCGGCATGTCTTCGACGGTCGTACGACAGTCCTGAAAGGCTTTGTACCACTCATAAACTTGAGTTTTCGATAAAACTGATTCCCCATAAGCCTTTTGTAGCATTCGCAACGATTCTGCACACGAAATTTCGTTCGAAAAACAAAATTTGATGCAAACTCTTTGTTCAATATTTTTTTCCATTGTTTTTTTCGCAACGCACTACTGAGGTGAACTGGTTTCAACAGCTGCCGTAAACGAACTGTCCGACAGATCGCGCTCATTTTGGCATAGTAATTAAGGACAGTGCTGCCAAACTACATAAACTTAAAATATCGAAAAATATACAGCGCGCGAATTTTAAATGAGAACCTCCGAAAACCTTTCGGTCACAATGTAGTAACTACTGTAAAACCCGCTTATTGGAATGCGCCAAAAATATAGCATTGGTACAAAAGCATCGCTACCCGTGAGTATACTAATAAGCACATGAGCTGTAGATTTGCTGAAAACCAAATCTAGGCCATAGGGTCCCAGTGACTTTCAAATGGAATTAAAGCTATGAAATATATTTTGAATTTTGAACATTGTATTCCTACAAAACTTTGAACATATATTCTTGTAAAAATATTAAGTATATCTAAATAACAACGAAGTTTTTTTTTGTCAAAGTTCATTCGTAACGCACCCCTATTTATGCTTTCCTGGTTATTCTTTTTTTTTTTGGGGAATCCTTTTTTGGGTAGCGCATATATTTTATGTTTTGCATGCTTTTTTCAATTTCTTTTCAATTTTTTGGCAGTCAACGAAAACCTGATTAATGTGCAATGATTTCATATTTCGCTTAGGGAATATGAAATTAAGAGCGGCAGAAGTTGTTGAACTCTGTTAGCCGATGCACCGATTTAACATTTTTTAAATATAGAATTTATTAAATTATATTGTATATCGAAAACGCCTGGCAGCGACGTTGCCAAGAGAAGAATATGCCAAACTTTTCTAACTTTTTCTATTCGGTCGCAGAAGACGTGATCAGAACAGCGGAGAGCAGACCGATTCGAGCAGAAATTGAAGCCGAGTTGAATTCAATTTGATCCCAGTCGTTTCAGCGATTTCCTTTGTGCGAAAGCACATTCAATGCAGCTAGTCAACGGCGTACAATCTTCCAAAATGGGTGTGATTTCTACTTGAACGCACTTCCATCACATCGACTGCCTGCAAGCAAGAAGTTGAAACGAACGCTCGAGCACGAATGAGAAATGAGAAGACTGAGCGCAGCGGTAAGCACTTCGCAGTTGAAAGAGAACTGAACGCACTCTCCATCAGCCGCACTGCTTTCAACTTTCCGTTGAACTGGACGGTGCTCTGCTTGAACTGCGACAACTTCATTCGGTAGCGATCAGTTCAGTTTTGTGCGTTGATTGGATATCAAGTGTTTGTGTTCCAATATTTTGCCGGTGTCTTGTATCTTATTTTATTGAAGGATTAAGTTGAAGAGCTTTTCAGTTTCTTTGTACTTTCTTAAAAGAAATTAGCGAACAGTGTCAAGAGCATAACGTATCAACGTTTATTGAAAAATAATTCACTTTTTCGTTACTGGAAAATAGTCCGAAAAATCTCGAAAAATGAGGGAAATCGTACACTTGCAGGCCGGCCAATGTGGCAACCAAATTGGTGCTAAGGTAAGCTGGAATTTTATTATTCTCAGATTGCAAAGCTAGTTTCCTTTTTCGCAAACGTAGACGCAAACGTTTTGAAAAATTTAATTGAAGAAAATTTTTAATAAAAAAGAAGTAAAACAATTTATTTTTTGAATTTAAATTGTTTTGTTTTTATTTGAAAATGGAGAATATATTTTTGGTTTTATGCGAAATACCAGTTTCCACTCAGTGCGCCTTTTCCTTTGAGGCACCAAAACTTATTTATCAGCTGCAAATCAATGTCAGGGTAAAAATTTACATTGCAAGATGTGCCGCCGAGTGACTTCATTGTAAACCACATTTTTTAGAAATTCACTTTTAATTATAGATTTTGGATATTTTCGATTTTGGATTTTAGGAATTCTTTGATTGATCCTTTTCTTCTGAAATAGAAGATCTCTATTATGTGTACTTACTATATATCAAATTTTACAAATGACGAAACAATCTTCAATTAATCAAAATAAAAAGTGTTTAAATAAAATGAATAAATAGATTTCTATTAGAGTGTTTCCTTTAAATATACATTAACTGTGAATCATTCTCTAGTCTTAAATCAAATAAGAAGTGTTAATCAATAGTGCTTAGCTTATTTTTCTCATCGTTTATATATTGATGTATTACTCTAGATTCTCTGAAAATTTTTGAAAGACTTACTCTAAGGGATAATGAAATTTCTCACAACAAAGGAAGAAAAAACTAATTAACTGAATTTGAGTTCCATAGAATCCTGCACTCATGATTTAGGAGCGGTTATTAACACCATCTAGTGCCATAGTCAAAATTTCCACAAGAATTAAGAAATTTACAGTTAACTGTAGAAAATTAGCAGTCAGTAAAATTATGTGCGATAAAATAGATCTTAAGATATTAAGATTGGAAAACATTTCCAAGAACATGTTAAGCAAGAGAGAATATGATCTTGAGAAAAAATATGATAAAAATAATTATCAAGGAGTAATGAAATATATATGAATTTATTTAATTAGAAATAACTTTTTTAATGGTGAACATTGTAATTTCTGAAATATTTACTATAAATGTCGGGTTTTCATATTTTCAAAGCAGATTTGTCTTTTCTCAATAAATATTTCACAAACAGGTTTTATTCAAAATAACCCTAATTTCCCATGGTTCCAATTGCAGATCACTCTGCTTTCACTCCTATTCTTATACATCTTGGGAATATATTGCGAGTAATTCTACATTCAAGTTATTTGATTTTCAAGAATACCTGACCATAACAGTAAGGTCCATTATTTGAATTTTTTAATATTCAAATTATACTGAGAGTATGAGTATTTGGTTTTGCTTCAAATAGTTTGAATAGATCGAACTATGCGAATATCTGATATGGACCAAGTGGTTCGAATACTGAAAAAATACGAATAATGTTTATTAATTTAGTTAAATAAATATTCCAAGGAATGTGAAATATAAATTTACGACATGTCTGTTGTACTGTGGTATATGTGAACAAGTCATATGTCATATGTTAATACATTCTTTTTGAATAATTTTGTTCAAATTTATTGCCTGAACATTTATACAATAATTGATATTTTTTTTATTATTGTGATATTTTAATTCCCGCCGCAATGAAATCTGCACAGCTCATCATACGCACATAGTGAGAAAATATGGCAATTAAATGAAATAGAAATGTGCGAAACTCATTATTCATTATAAAGAATAGGTCAGCATTATTCAGTTAACCCGATTTTCGCACTGAATTCAAATCGAACTGTTATATAAAATAAAATGAAATAAAAATTACATTTAATATCTACAAACTTTACTTCAGGTATTGTACTTTATCTATGTTATTGTTTAACTTGCCTTATCAAACAGTTGTTTCTTTAAGCTAATAAACTATTTTTTTCCTTATCTTGCTAAGTTTAATGTGATATATATCACTTCCGAGAAAATTTTAAAAAGAAAATTACATTACGAATCACGTAGCAGACGCCTCTGAATCATAATCCTGAGGGGGGCAATTATAAGGAAAATCTTATTAATCATTTTAACCATTATTCTTTCAAGTTTGTGCTATCATAATTTCAATATAACAAACAGATTAGCTTTTTTCATTTTTATCGCAACTGATAAAATAATGTACTGAAATACGATTTTCATATCAGATGATCAGATGTTCAGATATTTAGAAGATTTTTAAATGAAAGTCAAGGTTATTCAAATTTTGGCACCACAGTCGGTATTCAAGACTATCGTGAATACCCTACGTTGTGGGAATTACATATGTTTCTTTAGAAGTTATGTTAATTATTATGATAATTTTTAAAGTTATCATTATTGCATATATAATAAGTTTTTTTTAAATAATTTTATGAAAAAAATTAATTTAAAAGATTATTAAAAACATTGATTCATTTTTTAAATAACAGAAGAAATGATATTATTAGTGGAACTAAAGCAGAAAAATTAATATATATATATAAAATGTGTATCTAGTAAATACATAAGGCTACACCATATGCTTTTTTTACAACTTCTATTTATAGTTAGAAATATATTAACACTTTAGTGTTAATAATAATTAATTTCATTTATTTTCATTTATTTATTATTTTAGTTTCTTTAAAGTTGTATATGGTTTATTTTAATAAACGTGTACTCTAAAATATATTTTAAACTCAAACTACTTGATTTAAAATTTGGGCTGATTAGAGATTTCATTTGAACTAAAGTTAGAAAGTTATAAGTTAACAAAGGTCTACGTGAGTCCATAAACCTGTAATCTATAATGTATTTTTAACTCAGATTACTTGATTTAAAATCTAGACAGATTAGAAATTTCATTTGAACTTAAGTGAGAGAGTTATAAGTTAACAAAGATCTACGTGAATCCCGAATATTTTGTGCCAATCGGGAGCCAAATAATTATTATCTAACTAATCTATTAAAAAATCAGTTTGCGGAATCTTTAAATTTTTATTTTAAGAATTCAAGACTTGAAGTAGCGACATTCTGTTGTGTGACTTTAATGGATGATTATTTAAGATACAATTATTTTTTATGAAATTGCAAAGCTAACACTCTTTTGAAAATTCAGTTGAAATTTGCGGTGTAGCTCACTTTTTATATTTGCTGGGTAAACTTAAGGCAATTTAAATGTATTTTAAATGCAGTTAATATTTATTCACTGACCAAGCTGGAAAATATGTTTACATTGTAAGAAAGTGTGGCAACCCAAATAGAAACGCAAAAATATATTAAAGTGGCTGTATATTTCTTATTAAAAGTGTAGAAATTATATATAACTATATATGTATATAAATAAATAAGCATATGATAAATAAACATATGAAAATATGTACATCTATGTGATTTATATATATGTTTATCTAGTAATTGTAATTTCAGAAATTTAAAGCTTTGTTGTGAAGTTTCTAATTAAGCGTAAGGAGCTATCGTTTTATTTGTTGTCTTGATTAAAATTTTTCAAAACTAAAATTAAAATTTTTCAAGAAACTATGATAATAAAGTATTCGATGAGATTACAAAATATCAATCCATCCATTTAATCTATTTAATTAAACAATTTTTCCTTTCCTTGCCTTTTTTTCCTTGCCTCTGATCTTTGTATTTAAAATACAAAATGATCTTGGAAAGTGATATTTCTGACTTTCAAATGTTTGCGTACTATAATTAATATTATAATTAATATAATGTTCTACACTATAATTAATATATAAACCAATTTTACTTCAAACTATATAAAATGTAGAAAAATTTCTTTGAATTATTTTACAATTTTATTAACTGAATAAATTAATTATTGTTATTAATTCAAATTACTAGAATTAGTAATTAATTAAAACTAAAAGTGTAAATTTTAAAATATTTTTTGTAAATAATTACTTTCGGAGCGAATTGAGATTGATTTAAAACAATGACTGGATATGTATTATACTCGTATGAACATATATTAAAACTGTCAAGTAATCGTTAAATGCATTATAAAATTTTAAACCTAAAAATATAAATTAAGACGGCTTAATCGATCAGTTCACCAAATACTGGCAATTCAAGGTTAAATAATACTGAATAAATGTTTAAGTATTCCCTGCACAAGATAATTACGCATACGGATATTACGAATAAGTATTTAACATACATGCACAAATCTATAACCGCTGGCCGTTCACATACTATTTATTTTAAGAGTCAACATGAGATAACGTCCATTCGACGCAGTAGGACCTTAAATCCACACGAGCACACATGTTTCCTGGTATGTAATTTGAGTCGAAGACACATTAAGACTGCAGCAAGTGCGGGAGTATTGAATATCAGAAAGAAAACAAAAATAAAAAACCACTTTGATAAGAAGGGTAACGAAAACCGCATGACTGCAGTGCCGGGCTTGGATGTCTTCACGAGCGAAATGACAAATTTCGATGACTAATATTTATCGGTACTCTGTGTAAGCCGATAATTTATTGGAACAAAGGTATTTATTAGCAGAAAACCTTTAATGAAATTTAAATGGAATAGGGATTAGAAACAGAAGTGGTAAAACTGCATTTAATGGATTTCGGAATTGAGTAGTTTCAGTTACAGGATGTGCTGACGTTAAACGGAAGGAAATAAAAGTAGCTTTATTAAGAAGTGTTCATTTAGTCATTTAGATATAAATGACAGTATCAAATAAAGTTTCGCGTGAGAGTAAATCAAATTCATAATATCCGTAGTATATACTTACATATAAAGGTCAATTGAAATTATTTAAGACTGTGAAAAATGGAATTATACGATATTATTTATAATCCGCTGTGAGAATAAGTTTATATAATTTTTTATAATTTTTTTTTTTTGACAGACATAATAACTAATAATTACTCTGAGAATATTGATACCTGGTGTCCTTAATATCAGCTATACTTATAAATTTTCTAATCCACTTATAATCCTATTATTATCTATGTGTTGGTGTAGATAATTATAATAAAAAACATAAA